GCGAAGGGTGCGAGCGAAACGGGTGCCAAAAAGGCTAGCAATAGCCCATGCAAGCTGGCAGCACTCCCGGGTGGGCTCTTTGAGGGAAGTCATCCTCCTCCGGGAGGTCTCCCTGCCAGGAGGAGAGGGCTGCATTGGAAGGATGTGATGTGGCAAGGCGCACGGCCTCGGGCAGGTGTTGGTGTCGGGTGGTGAAGTGAAGGGGAGGGCAGCAAGGCTGGAGGGAGGTGGAAAATGAGTGCAAAAAGTTGTGGTGGCACCAAAACCAACGATCTCAAGAGAAAGCTGCTTTAGGTCAGAGGTCCTGGCCAGCAGGCAGGCGGGTACCAGAGGCTGCCCCGTCGCTGGGTGGGGAAATCAGGGCAGCAGCTTCCTACAGGAGGATTTTGCTGAGTTCATGGTTTCCTCCCCAAGAGATTTTGGGGCTTGGCTGCAACACCGTGGCCATTATCACAGGTAGAGAAATGAGTGGGTTGGTCTGCCTCTCTCCACCAGCAGTGACTAAGCTCCATCAGCATCCCTAGGCTGGTCCCTGATCCCACAGCTCTTCCCTGGTGCAGCAGACATCACATCACACAACCCCCCGGCGAGGTGGGCCGGCGAAGGGGGTGAGGGAGGGAAGAGAAAGGCATTTTGATGACAGTAAGGACTGAATCGGCCAAAGCGGTGAACGTGCCCACCGGGCGCTGGTCCCTACAACCCAAGGCAGGGATCAGGGGGCGTCAGCAGGAGCCTGCCCTGTTACTTGGGAGAGTCCAGCCAGTCCTGGGGTAGGTCTAGAGCTACCACCGCACCTACACGCCCAACCAGGCTCACAAAGCAAAACGCATATATACAATCACTTCCAAAGAAGGCGTAAGGGGAAACCACCATCCTAAGGGTCCTTCCTCTCATCTGCCTTACCTTCCTTCCTTCTCCCTGCCACGCAGGTATCTCTGGGAAGAGTCAGATTCTTTTTGCCCTCGTCTTCACAACCCGCTATCTGGACCTGTTCACCACCTTCATCTCTGTCTACAACACCGTGATGAAGGTAAGGAGAGGGCAGCACGAAAGCAGAGGTTCCCCTCAGCTCACCGTGGTTTCTCGGGGAGGCGAGGGTATGCATTCACTAAGTTTTTCAGTCAGAGGGAAGAAGGAGTGATTCCATCTTCTTCGCTTGTCATCAACGCTACAGGGGGTTATACATAGGAAGGGTGGATAAAGATGCTTCCTTTGGTGTCATTGGCCCTCCATTGACCAAAACACCCCCCTCACCACAGTCAGTGAGCGACCTGAGCCCGCCACATTTAGTACCATCAAACGCCATGAATCAAGCCTGGGTGTCCTTGCACAGCAGGAGCATTAACAGACAGCTGCAACCAAGCCAACCTCTTCACACAGAGCCCTAGAGGGCTTAAGCAAGTGTGATCCTCATGGTGGGGCAATCTTTAGTTGACTGCTGGAGTATCTCCAGCAGAAGCCAATCCACAAGCCCGCGCAGAAAAGGCATTCACCACTATATCACCCTGGCACAGCCCCACCAGAACCAGGTTAAAAGATCTTGACCTTGGCAAAGCCGTCCTCTCTTCAAGCACAGAAGGTGTAATCGCAGGTAAGATCTTGCCATCTCCCTTCCCTTCCCCAGGTCATTTTTTTGATATGTGCCTACATCACCGTGTACATGATCTACGTGAAATTCCGGAAAACATTCGACAGTGAGAATGACTCCTTTCGCCTTGAGTTCCTGCTGGTCCCTGTCACAGGCCTATCGTTTCTGGAGAACCACAGCTTCACCCCCTTGGAGGTAAGGAGAACCTGAGGCAGGAAAGGGGAGGGGAAGCAGCAGCCTCACACCATACAGCAGAGTGAGCAGCACGTTGAATAGTTGAGATTTTTAACAGCAAAAGCAGGCAGGAAAGGCAAGGTTGGCAGGCCTTGAAGACCATACCATCTATAGAGCAGCTCAGCACTGTCTCCTCTCAGTCCCAGCACAGCAGGCCCATTTTCCCCAGCTCCAGCACCACTGCTCATCCTGCTCGCACATCGGTGCTCTGCCAAATGAAAGCTTTGGCTCTTAATGTGTATTAACCAGCACCAAGACTCTCCACTGCCTTCATTTTGCATCTCACAGATACTCTGGACCTTCTCTATCTACCTGGAGTCCGTGGCTATCCTTCCTCAGCTCTTCATGATCAGCAAGACGGGGGAAGCAGAAACCATCACGACACACTACCTTTTCTTCCTGGGCCTCTACCGCGCTCTCTACATTGCCAACTGGGTCTGGCGCTACTACACGGAGAATTTCTATGACCAGATCGCTGTAGTTTCCGGGGTCGTACAAACCATCTTCTACTGTGACTTCTTCTATCTCTACATTACCAAAGGTAGGTAAAGGGGTTGGTATAAATCTGAAACATTCATTTGGCACTCTTGCAACATACGGTGGAGCTGCAGCTTGCTGTGCGTTAATCCGTATGTGACTTTATTCTTTGCTGTGTTTGTGATGCACATTGTTCACCTAAAATCCAGTTTAAAAAACTTATCTGTTGAATGCAAGTGGGCATCTCTGCTCAGAACGCTCTAGACGTGCATGTGAAACAAAGTAGAAGTTAAACCAGAGCTAAGCCTCATTTAACCCCACCTTGAGAAGTTAACTGAGGTATATTCAATTCTGTGTACATTTTGAAAGATGATGAATCATGCAAAAAAACTTTGAGGGGAGAAAAAAAAATAGCCACAGGCAGACAAAGTACCTGAGAAAGCAACTGCAGACATATGGAGATATTATTAAGCCTACTTTTTCTTCTGATGGAAAAGATGTAATGTTCCCAAGAACTGATTCTGTACGAAGACAGGCATCGGCACAGACAAGACACCCAAGATCAGATGCCCCTTCCACTTCAGCGCCGTGCTTTGGTAAATGGCCACGTACCAGAGCTAACGAGTGCATCAAGGGCATAAAATTTGGTAGAACACGCTATGGTTTGCTGAGGCTGAAGTACGCTTTAAAACACTTCTCTGTTGAGGAGGATGGAATTTGATGAAATCTAGCTGAGCAAACAAGTATTTTCTTCCTTCTTCACATTCCCGAACTAGTCTGCCAAAAGCAGTAGTGACAGCCCGCATTTGATGTTTCGAGGGATGGATCTTTGGTAGCTTCATGCGATGTATCTGCTGATAGAGAGGTGACAGGAGCACTGAGCAGGTGGCTGGCCTTGCAGATTAAGACTTCCTTCTGTCGTCAAAAGATTTTTGTAGCCAGAAAGGTACTTTGTAAAACTGCCATCAAGGTGCTCCACGTCAATTCCCTTTTTTTTTTTTTTTTTTAAGAACTAATTCCCATTTTAGCTTCACTCAATTCATGTGTCCTATGTCCTTCTGTGTTTTGTGAGAAATCCATACCCTTTGTAGTTGCGATGGTGGAACAAAAGGGGGGAAAAAACAACTGCTGGCTTTCAGTCTCGCATCGCTAGTGATAAAACTGCAAAATTTAGATGATACAGGAGGCAGAATTAAAAACATTTGTCCCTGGGAAATCACAGCAGGAAGAGAATTGCCTTTTTTTGTTTGTTTGTTTGTTTTTTGTTGTTTTTTTTTTTAAATCTATTTTTGGAACATCTCAAATTTGGATATAATTGCTGTTCAACATAACAGTGTTTTAAGATTCTGGTGTTCACTTAAGACTGCTGAGGATCTTCCCTGATGCTCTTGCAAAAAAAAAAAAAAAAAACCCCAAACTTTTCAAAACATTTCTAACACAGAAGAGCTCAGACAAAAGGGCAGCAATGCTGCAAAAAAAGCCAAGATGTTACATAAAGAAATGTATTTAATAAGACTTCAGAGCCCATACCAAAGCATCGTAAAGGGATTTTTATAGAAAGCGACTTCTCTTTATCTTGTTTTCAAAACTAGATGAGCTCCTTTCTGTTTAACACAAGGACCTGAAAGATATTCCGAGGAAGCTTTCAGCTCCCAAAAGCTTGTATTTCACAGAACGGCTGTGGTTGGGGGCAACTGGGGGGGGGAATCATCTAATCCACCCCCCTGCTCACAGCAGGGTCACCTAGAGCAGGTTGTTCCAGGTCTTGTCCAGTCAGGTTTTGAGTACCTCCAGGACGGAGGCACCACAGCCTCTCTGAGCAACCTGTGCCGGTGTCTGACCACCCTCACAGTAAAAAACCTTTTTCTTACGTTTAAGTGGAATTTCCCATTGCCCCTTGCCCTGTCACTGGGCACCACCGAGCAGAGTCTGGCTCTGTCTCCTTTACTCCCCCCATCAGGCATTTATACACGTGGGTAAGATCCCCCTCAGCCTTCTCCGGGCTGAGCAGCCTCAGCTCTCAGCCTGCCCTCTTACATCGGATGCTCTAGTCCCTTAACCATCCTCGTGGTCTTTCTGGACTTCCTCCAGTATGTCCCTGCCTCTCATACTGGGAGCCCAGAGCTGGACCCATCGCTCCAGCTGTGGCCTCACCAGGGCTGAGTAGAGAGGAAGGACCGCCTCCCTGGACCTGCCGGCAGTGCAGCTCCGGAGGCTGTTCGCATTCTTTGCCATGAGGGCACAGCGGTGGCTCGTGTTCCAACTTCGTATCCACCAGCACACCCAGGGCCTTTTCTGCCCAGCCACTGTCCAGCTGAGGAGCCCCCAGCACATACTGGTGCATGGGGTTGTTCCACCCCAGGGGCAGGATGTGGCATTTCATTTTGCTGACCCTTCGTGAGGTCCCCGCCAGCCCATTTTTCCAGCCTGGCACCGTCCCCCGGACCCCATCTGGTCTATCAGCCACTCCCCTCCACTGCACATCGTCAGCAAATCACTGAGGGCGTACTCTGCCCTTCCCTCTGGCACCAAATAAAGACCTCGAGCAGTACCGGCCCCAGTACCCATCCCTGGGGTACACCACCAGTACCAGGCCACCAGCCGGACTCCATGCTGCTGACCATCACGCAGCCAGAGCAGCCACTTCTCCATCCACCTCATCTAAGCCTATGGGCCCCTGGTATTTCCCAGAGGCCTCCCATCCCAGCTTCCAGATCAGATGGGATGGGGCAGGCTCAGGGGGGTCTGGCCACAGACCATTTATTCAGGTCATGTCCTCTGTTAAAAGGGGGCAGGGTGGGGTGGGGGAAGCACTGGGGTAGAACAGGAGACTCCATACTACATCATCAAGAAAAAAAAAAAGTGGGGAAACTAAAAGTCTCTAAGAGGATCCACGCAAGAACAAGAGTAACTATGGAAGAGGAAACAAAAACCTTTCCCTTTAGCAAAAAGGAGCATAAGGAAGTTTTGGGCTTTTCCCCCCTTAGAAGCGATTTTATAGTGGTTGTCTCCCAGAAAAGATCACATAAATTCTTCCCTTTTCTCTGGATTCCTTAATTTTACCCTTCTCGCCAAGTTCTCCTAGATGTTCATTCAACAACGAACAGGATTCTTCAGAGCTGTTAGCATACAGGCGCAACAGAGGACAAGCAGCCGTGTTACCTGAAGACAGCATGGCTCTATCCCTACCTGCCTGCAGTAGCACAGGGAGGATGCCCGAGAAGGTCCATTCGATGGCCATAATTTCATTGCCATTTGCAAACCTGGCAACCCGCTATCTGGCACTCTAAATAGCAAGTTAAAAAAAAAAAAAATTGTTGAAACAATGAAAAGTTTAATTCTCCCAAGTTCCTTCATTACCTCCTCTTTCTCTTTGCACAGTCCTAAAAGGAAAGAAGCTGAGTCTCCCCATGCCTGTTTGAAGACATTTCCACAGACAATGCAAGAAATTCCGAAGATGAAGCCCTTCAGATCACAGCTTTCCTTTCCTGGTCCTTTTTGACTAACGATGGCTCAGCCGAGTTTCACTCCAGTGCCAGCAAGACAATGAGGCCTGGGAAGCTGATACACTTTTCATCCATATGAGACTTTCCCCCAGTTTTTTTTTTTTTAATTTCTTCTTACTTGAACTCGGTGCCAGTAAGTAGTGCTGGCCAATACTGAAGTAGTGCAAATTGCTCTCTCCCGGCTCTTCCCAGCATCTACCTCCAAAACACGCCTCTACCTTGACCCTGAGGCAGCACAAGGAGTGTAAGGGGAATCGTCACTACCTTTAGTCCTTCAGCCCTTTAACGAGTGCCTGTGGTAAAGGGAACGTGGCACTATTAACTCTGGTAACACATACAACGCCACTGACCCGTTTCACACGTGACCACATCTGACACAGCAGACGCTACAAACTGTTGCTTCGACTCTGTATGAACTAACATCCTCCTGAACCTTAACTCTGCCCGACACCCATTCCAGTCAAGTCCCATAACGTTCAGGAAAAATACGTTCCCTTTGAAAGACACGAATCTTCCAATTCCACAGGTATTCAAACATCCTCCCCACTCACTCACTTTCAGTGACAGTTCCTTGTATTCTACAAACGGGGATCGTTTTGATTAAAATTCAGTGGGTTGCCGACAGGTGTTTCCAACTCCTTGAATTTGACTTTTTTTAAGAACTGGGAAGAACAGGGGCAAAGACAGTTTTACACTCCAAAAATAAAGACAAAGTTCACAATTTATTGACAACAGTGTTTTTATTTATACCTACAAAAGAAAACAAGATGGTATCAAAAGGACAATTTACAAACTAAGAATAGTAACATAGCTCTTAGTATCCTGTGTCTGAACACCACAGATCTATGAATCTCTCAATTCAAGTCTTCATTAATACAACAGGAATGTGTTCAGAGACCAGCAGGTGTGTGAAACAAGAGGCTGATCCCACACAAAGCCACTAACCCTTCCATCGTTCAGAGAAGTCCAAACAGTAAATTGCTTCAGGAAGTGGGAGGGGAGGAGACACCCAACTCATTTGACACTCCCACAAACTGTCACAGATTGAAAACAAGGCAAACAATACTAGACGCTAATGCTTTATCAACAAGGGCCCTCCAGCTGGTATATGGAACAGAGCAGCGAGCACCAGGTGGGACAGGGGCAGCACATGCCACGGTGCATTTATGCATTCAGCAGTCTGGTTAACACTCTGAACTGAACCGAGACCCTGGACTTCAGCTGACCTCGATGGCAATAAAGCACTGCAAGACTTGGCATAGACATTTACATGTGCACAAGTCCCCCCCAAAAGAAGTGAAAGCTATAGCAGACTATAAGGCAGCTTTGGCGGTCCAGAGACCCTTTTTAAAGCCAGTCAGTGAGATGTCCTACTCCTACACCCCTTAAACACATTTCTGCATTGAACTCGCAAATTTAAAAAAAAAAAAAGCGCAGCTCTACATTTGCTTGCGAGGGAGGCCAAAGACAAATCAGCCAGTGCCTGGATAAACGACATGTTTCTGGCTTTCACTTAACACAAGCAAAGGAACTTCCTGCCCAAGCACTGGAATTAGAAGATGGGACGAAGGAACCAAGGTTCTGGAAGATCTCTCCCTTTTCCCTCTGTGTCAGCAACCTACCTGTGTACTGCACCAAAAAAAAAAAACCAAACCCAAAAAACGCGCATTCATCCCCCAAAATTTTACTCTGGGAAGAAATTAAATTTAAAAAGAAATCATTTCTGTATAAGCAAGCTCTTTTCCTGGGCTATAAGAAGTTCCACTCTGCTACAGAAGGAGTGGGCTGCCTTGTTCATCCATATGCAAGAACGCCAACAGAAAAAAAAACCAAAACGCTGCACTCTCATAATGCAAAGATTATGCCTCACAAACCAGATGCATCCATTCTTTTGTCATATTTTCAGATCAAGAGCAGCCAACTCCTGTTATCATCTACTGTCTCTGAACCGTCAGGTATTAGAAATAACAAGTCAACAACATGCTTTACTAAAGGGGAAACCCCCTCACACCCACCTTAGCCTGTAAAATAAACAAGTTTTATTTACGTATTTACTAAAATTTCACTCTTCTCTAACATTTTCTAAAATGCTACCTACCTGCGAGAGCTCAGCTCAAAGGGACCAATGGAGCAGGGAAATGCACTCAAAAGCCAGGAAAAGCAATAGTCAGAGCAAAGTACAAAAGAAATAAAGCTTCAGAATCAAGATGCACTAACCAGCTCACCGCTTACCTCATGAAAAGGAGATTCCAGGCAATCTCCTCCTCCTCCCTTCCTCCCCCTGCCCTCCCCCCCAGCCCACCCTATTCAAACCTCTTAAATTTAAGTGTGGAAAACTCTGTCACATTTTATTCAGCGTAGCAGCATCCAGAACATTCCCCGTGGCAAAAGGTAGTTTGTTCGCGAAGGACAGACAAACAAGATACGCTGTTTATCGTCTCAGTTCTGCTTAGTTTCTGGGCTCTCAAATAAGACTTCTCTCAATAAACCTGACAACAGGAATTTGAGAGCAGAAACTAATGGAAGGATAACCAGGCTCCACACGTTTGCGACGCTGCAATTTAACAATCGTAGGGGAAGAACTTACTTGGCTAAACATTACAGCAGTGGTACCTACAGTGACTATCTGGTTTTCAGGTATCGAATCCAAGACAGGTTTGGTCTCTGACAACGGGGTTATATTCCCAACTTCCCTACTGCAGGCTGCTACAGGTACCAGAAGATGGGGCTGCTGCTTCCAGAGCTGCAGAAAACGCCAGCAATGTACCTGGGGCATTACTCTGAACACCGCCCAGCTCAGACAAATGAGCAGAGTTTTCCTACAGAAAGTCACCTACGATAGATTACAAGCAATAATAGTGAGCTATTAAAAAAAAAAAAAAAAAGATTAGTAGAAGTGAGCATTGCTCCCTTGCATTTATCATTTTAAATGAAGTGCTTTTTGGCTCCCCAAAGTTTCCCACCTCTCTTGATACTTCCTGAAATTAAGTTAACATGTTACAGAATAGAAACTTCCTCCCCTCAAAAGCAAATTTTCACACAAACCTTAGACACCAAGATGATCGAACTGGGACCTATCTGCCTTATACCCATTTCTTTTAGAGAAAATAAAATTTCCAATTTCCTCAACATGCAAGACAAAAAATAATAAATTTTCCAGTCAACTATATATCTCTCTTAAAAACAAAACAACAAAAAAAAGAAAAAAAAAAAAGAGGACAGGGTCAGTAATGTGGACTGGGGGCCATTTTTGATGGGCTCAGGGATTTGAATGGTGAATTCTAAGTCTAACCTGCATGAGAGAGACATCACAATGGGAAAGAAGAGAAAGAAAAGGTTCCTTTAAATGCAAGAGGTCTACACTGGTGAGTGGTCTCATTTGCGTGAGGGGGGAGGGGGTGGGGGAGGGGGCGGATACTGGTAGGTGGCAGTCTGGCCCATATAGCCCATCACGGTCGT